GAGTTGGGCATCGCTGCTGAGGGTGACATGAAGGAGATCGTGTGAGGAAAAAATGAAAACTTCTACGCAGTGGTGCATCCAGGTCCAAATGACTGCAGAGAAGAGAGTGAAATGGCGACCTGCTAGTGAATCCCTATGTTCCACTAGGAACCCAAGGGACAAATAATAATATTATAATAATATCCTGAAATGAAACTTATCAATGTGCTACAGATGATGATGTTAAGGATGATATTGCCCTAGAATAGGACTTCCTGAGAGGATGAATAAATATTTATAATTACTACTCAGAAATATAAACATATGAATATAGGAGACTTTTTATTGAGTGGTTAATTGCAGCTGATTAACCAGTCATTATTCAGCGATCAAAATCAAATGTACACAGCAAAGTGGAGTCATGAGTTTGAGACAATTGTTACGGACCAGCACCTTGGTCGTTCAGCTGTGTTGCTACGACCAAATGTTTTTATCTCCATAAACTGATGCTAATTATTTACACGTGCACTTTACGAAATCAATATTTATTGTAGATGTGGTGTAAAACTCTTATTACTTTGAATTTCGAAGTGCCGAATGGTGCATACACACCTTAGCAAAGACATCAAGACGTCAAAATGAAGGAATAATTAGCTCATGAATCAAAGTAGAACAAAACAAATGGCTTAGATATTTATGCTAATCACTCTGAAAAATTAACCGAAACCAACTCAGCAAAGAAACTTTTCTGTCCAACGAGTCATTTTCAAAATCTGTACATCATAATCAAAGTCACAACTAAATATATATCCATCAATAGCTAATGAGCCAACATAAAGTCACCGAAAACGGTCAATAAGGTCACAAGATGATAACGGTTAGAAGGTCATCAAAAATTGTTTTTAGAATTATAATAAATAAACAAACGGCAAGCAAAGAAATGAATAAAATGTCTTATACAGATTACGACTAAAGCGAAATCAGAGGTTGAATGTGTCACTATTGAACACCAAGACCAGGCTTGTACCGCTAGATGGTCAAAGCCTCTGGTGTGTTGAGGTGATAAATATACACTTGCTTTGAAATGTTTGATGTCACTCTATAAATGACTTCGAAAGAAGATTCTCGAGGAATACAATTACCAGAGTTAACCAAATGCTTAAAATGTGAGCTGTTGTTGACTTTACACTCTCCTTTAGACAGCGATGCAGGAGAGTGTTTGGAGATGCGTTTGGATAAGATGTGCTTTGTACGCCTATTTAATCAGCTCCACAAGAGCATATGGATCGGTAAACACTCATGGTGGTAGCGCAAAGAGGTAGTTTATTTTTCACTTACCTTTAAATCAGTTGCTGACTGTATCAAACAATCCGATGCTAAGTGGAAAAGAAAGTCTTCATCAGTGTTTTGCATAAACAATCATTAGTATCTCAGCCAATGTATCTTCCTTGAATCCAATATTCATAAAAAATGTCTTCTTTGGAACCGTGGGGGATTATTCTTTGAAGTGCTAATTATTATTATCATTACTATTATTATTTATATTATTATTGTTAGCATTATTATTATCATTATTATTAGTGTCATTATTATTCTTATTAGTCCCTTGGGTTCGTAGTGAAACAAAGGGATTCACTAGAACGTATCCATCCCACTCTCCACTCTCTGAAATCTTTTGAACCTGATTCCACCACTGCCCACAAGCTCTCATTTCTTCCTCACACCATCTCCTCCATGTCACTCTCAGCCACGATGCCCAACTCGTCGTTTCCAATGCCGGTTCCACTCAAGCAACTGGCCTGACGCGTGATGTCCCCAGTCGGCCTTCTCAGTGTATGCCCAATCCATCTCCACTTCCTCCCAGTGCATATTTGTTCAGCGATAGGTTCTTGCTTCGTTGGTTGGTTGACAGCCACAGTGAGTTCCTTGTTGCTTATTCTTATTATTCTGGCCATCTGAACTTCAGTAAGGAGCCAGCGTATGCAGTTGTTGATGAATATCTGTAGTTTATTGGAAATCCCTTTCGTAACGCGCCAAATCTCTGAACCATTGCATAGAAGCACTGACTTGACGTTGGTGTTGAAAATCCGGATCTTGTTCACACTTTATGTTGAGTGCAGAAGATCTCCACACTGGTTTCAGGCTAGTGAACGCCTGTCTTGCTTTTCCGATTCTGACTTTGACATCCTCGTCTGTGCCGCCTGTATTTGAAACCATGCTACCTTCCTAGATAGGTGAAGGAGGTTACTTCCCTTAAGTTTCTCCCGTTGATGGTGATTGCAGCTTGTTGTTGTTATTAGTGGTGTTGGTTGGGTACCACCATCACCTCTGTCTTCTCTATGTTCACTTGAAGTCCCGTCCTCCCTGCCCCGCCTGTAGATCTTCGAGTTTGTGCTACATAACATCAGACATAAGTCATCACTGGCGAAATCCAAATCTTCTAGGATCTTTTCATCGGTCGAGCAGCGTATGCCCCTCTTCTCGCTCCTCACGGTTTTTTGCATGATCCAGTTCACTACAATCAGGAAGACCATGGGTGATAGTAGACAACCTCGTCTTACTCCTGTATTCACACGGAAGGCGTCACTGAGCTTCCTATTGTGGATCATTTGCAATGTGGCGTCTTCATACAGCTGTTGAGTGAGGTTGATAACCGTTTGTCGTATTCCGTAGTGTTGGAGCAGATGCCAAATTACTTGTCGGTCGACGCTGTCTAAGGCCTACACAAAGTCGATGAAGTTGAGGTAGAGTTGAGTTGTCTGCCATTCTATGCTCTGTTCTATGATGATGCGTAGAGTGGCGTTGCAATTTGATCGGCACATGATATGTTCTTCCTGAATCCAGCCTGTTCTGGTGGTAGTAGTGAATCCAGCGCATAATGTTTTGCTTGAAGTGAACAGGAGTGTAGGATGATTCTTCTCCAGTTCTTGCAAAGACTTATTTCACCGTTCTTCGGGAGTTTGAAAATGTAGCCCTTCTACCAATCTCCAGGTACCTTCCCTTCCTTCCACACCTTCTGCAATAGTGGTGCGAAAATGTTCGCTGTTGTCTCTGCATCTGTTCTCAGTGCTTCTGGTGGGATTCAGTCTGGTCCTGCTGCTTTCCCGAATTTCAGCAGCTTTATGGCGTTCACGACTTCCACTTTTGTTGGAGGATTTATGTTCACTTGTAGTTCTGTGGCTGGGCTGCAGGTGGTATTTCTGTAGGAAGTGCAGCTGGTGGTCGATTCAAGAGCTTCTTGAAGCGGTCAAGCGATCGTTTCCTTTGTTTCTCCTCTTTGGTAATTAGATTCCCTTCATCATCTTTTATTGGTTTCATCTGTGTTGATCACTTCCCTCCCAGATAGTAACCTGGTTATTTGATACAATGTTGTCACGTCTCTGTCTCTCCTACCAGCCTCCAGTCTGTTCTGCTTCACTTGCCAATGTGTCGTGGAAGTGTCTTCTGTCTTTCCGTGCACTCTTCTTCACTTCTTTGTCCAGTGTAGTGTTTTGTACGTTGTGTTCAGTTCCTCTTCTCGTTGTTCATCCTTCACTGCACTGCTTCATCGTCTGCTTCACCATCCTCCTCTCCCTGCTCTATCAGCTTCCATGTATCCATTGAGATCCATTCCTTATCCTCTTTCTTCTTCCTTCCTAATACGGTTGGTTATGCGGGTTTCCTTCCACATAGCTTTCAAACAGTTCCAGTGTTCATCCAAACAGCTTTCTTCAGCGATGTTGCTCAGTATCTCCCATTTTGTCTTCATTGCTGAAGTGAAGGTTTTCTGTGTAGATTCGTCTCTCAGTTTCCCAGTGTTGTACTTGAACTGTGGTCCATCACCAACTTCCTTGAAGGCTTTCAACTTGATTTCGAAGGTAGGTTGCTTGCACTAGATAGTGAGTGGTCTGAACCTACATCTACTCCCCTTCTCGATCTGATCTTGTGTCCAGTAGACTGCGTCTTCACTTTCTTCACATTGAGATGAAGTCGATCATGATTTTTATTGTGTCCTGGTGTCTGGTGAAATCCATGTGGCTTCGTGAATATCCTTGTGTTTGTACACACTGCATCCAATCACCAAATCGTTGAATGCGTAGAAATCTGCAAACAGTTCTCCATTCTCTTTTATCTCACCTAACGCTTCTCGACCCATAGTTAGTTCTCCTCCTGTGTTGTCCGCTCCTAGTTCCATATTCATGTCGCCCCACCATCAGAATTTCGATGTCGCCAACTGAGACGGGGTCTTGTCCAGTGTTGATTGCAGTTGTCTGTAACATTCCTCTTTCTTCTGTTCTCTTAATCTGCACTATTTGTAGGTGCATAGCGTGGCATTGAATGATTGTGACTTTCCTTCCTTTTGAGTTGAACCTTGCTGTCATGATCCTGATCCTGCTGGAGGAGATTGGTTCCCACTGCATGAGAGTGAGCCTTCGATGCTGTTGGGGACATCATGATAGCCACTCCATTATTGAGTGTGCTCGTGGTTGTCGTCTGGGTGACAATATCGGAGTAGATTATTGACTCTCCAGTTGACATTTTGGAGAGTCCACTCCCATCCCATTCCATCTGCTTTCACAGACTCTCAGCACTTCAATGCGATACCTTCTCATCTCCTCAACAATCTGTGTAGCCATGCTAGATTCATATATGGTGCGGATATTCCATGTCTTCATGTTCACTTTCGCTTTCCTCGAGAGAAGCGAAGATACATCGGCAAATTGGCTTCCCGAAGGCTTTCACCAACCGGCGCCATTTCGCCTCTCCGATTCCAGCGAGGACTAATTTTGTTATTATTTTTTATGTTTCATTTGTGCTTTGAAGTTTCTTTAGCCGTTAGATTTGTTTTCCGGGGTAGGGTTGGTAGCCGTATGCCCAACCTTCCCTCTTTACCCGGGCTTAGGACCGACTAGAAACTTGTGATCTAGTTTACCAGGTGAGGTTTTCTTTGAAGTGCTTTGGTCTCACTTTCTACTCAATGGATCTTGTAGAATAACCATTCTCGAGGAACACTTCATAACACTTTCAGTTCCTCATTTATTGCGTAATCTGTGCTAATTCTTCTAATTCCTGTAGGTACTGAATGACTTAGGTTTCGTTTCCTGAGTTATGAGACTTAGCTTTGACAATGATTGTAGTTTATTATTTCCGTTGAATGGACTTGTCTGTAAGTCTAATGTTAACTGTACACTTGGTAAAATATTGTGAAAAATCCGAGAAATAGAATAACCTCCATTGTTTTTTCGATCTCTTGTTTCCTGTCATTATGTGAGTACAGTGAACAACAATGAATATTCGAGAAATTATTTCTCGCAACTCACTTTATGAGTGCACGATGGACCATCAAAACCTAGATTGCATACACATACAGCAACTTCACTTGAATGTTGTGCAGTAATACAACTACCATGAATACACAGTTTTCTATCACAGGCTCCAATGAGTTTCATACAGTTTGGTAGGTTGATATGAGAATCTTCTACAAATGGACCCTGACATTCACATCGATACTGATTGGTTCCTTTAAATGGTATACATTTTGATGTTCCATTTGAAGATGTTTTCATTCCACTCACATTAACATTACACAGCTGATTGCCATTGGTTAATTTCCTTAAAGTCAAAAAAATCACAATTACTAACAGGAGTAACTATGTTGGTCATCCACAACTTCTAAACTATACAATTAAACTTCATGACTGGGTATACTGAATTTTATCTAACGAACTGTCTATTAGATAATTGTTACTATTGTTTCTTTTTCAATTTTAATCCCCAGTGCCATTTCAAACCAGTTTATACATAGTATATATTGAAGGTATTCTTTAAAAATATTATGAATATTGAGTCCACAGTTGTCACAAATGTGATGGAACGACTTGAACACCTAGTCGCCTTTAATCATGACATTAATAAGTTCTTTCCTCAACAAGCTGGGATTTTATTATCATATTTATCCCTAGGGTTCCTAGTGAAACAAAGGGATTCACTAGAACGTCTCCATCCCACTCTCCTCTCTCTGAAATCTTTTGAACCTGATTCCACCACTGCCCACAAGCTCTCATTTCTTCCTCACACCATCTCCTCCATGTCACTCTCAGCCACGATGCCCAACTCGTCGTTTCCAATGCCGGTTCCACTCAAGCAACTGGCCTGACGCGTGATGTCCCCAGTCGGCCTTCTCAGTGTATGCCCAATCCATCTCCACTTCCTCCCAGTGCATATTTGTTCAGCGATAGGTTCTTGCTTCGTTGGTTGGTTGACAGCCACAGTGAGTTCCTTGTTGCTTATTCTTATTATTCTGGCCATCTGAACTTCAGTAAGGAGCCAGCGTATGCAGTTGTTGATGAATATCTGTAGTTTATTGGAAATCTCAAATCTCTGAACCATTGCATAGAAGCACTGACTTGACGTTGGTGTTGAAAATCCGGATCTTGTTCACACTTTATGTTGAGTGCAGAAGATCTCCACACTGGTTTCAGGCTAGTGAACGCCTGTCTTGCTTTTCCGATTCTGACTTTGACATCCTCGTCTGTGCCGCCTGTAGTTGAAACCATGATGCTAGGATTCTATTAAAACTTACTTATACAATGATTCTTCAGTAATTTTACTCTCTGAAATTTGATCGAACATTGACCAAAGACCTGAACTACTTCTGCTGAAGAAACCAATGTCTTCAAACTATAGACTTAATTTGCTGACACTTTCGTTAATAATAATATGATCATTGTTATTTTTCAATGATGCAGCTAAAATGAAAAGTACAATAAATGAGTGAATTGCATTTTTTTGTATAGTGTACAAAGTAGATTTGACATGAAAGAAAAGTATGAATATTAATTTGTTGAAATGAATGAAGGGGCGCTCCTTTAGTGTTTTCTTATACTTCTCAGTCACTAATATCTCTCAAAGTCCAAAATTAATTTTTTGTTTTAATCACTCACGGAGAAATACTGATAGTTCAATTTGTATTGGAGTTTTTCATGATCTTTTTACAGAGACGATAAAGGCTTCACCATTGAGCCAGTGAAGATCAGCAAACGCAGCACAACCAATTCTTACATTTTATTGTTTTTCAACATCTTGCTCACCTATGTGAATGTCTTAATTGATAATGTTCAACTGTTTGGAAGCTTTGATAGATACATTATCGTCATCTAAGTAAATACATCATTTTCGAATAACCAGTCAGATATTTTTCAGTCATAACGAATTCAGATGCTTATAGGCATATATGAACATAATATTGTGTAAAAAAAACGGTTTCTTTACAGTCACGTTCTTACATTTGTCTACTTTTTGCATTTGGATCCAAGTGAGTGTATCGTAAAATATTCATTTCACATGCATCTATTTGATGAGTACACTTTGTACCTGTATAGCCTTCTTTGCAGATACACCTATATCCATCCATTCCGCTTGAAAATAAGAAGAAAAAATAGATATTTTGACATCACGGTTTTCATAGTAATAATAATAATAATAATAATAAAGATAATAACAATTGCTTTTGACGGCACTGCGTCCCTTGAGCTAGGTCATTTAATCGTGCAGCTTACTTTGTCATTCTAGACAACATCATCAGCATAAACTTAGGAAAGAAATGAGCTATGAGACTTTCTCCGAAATTTGTTTAGTAGTTTGTCCTGATGATCTTGTGTGTAATTAGTTGTTTGTGACAAAGTCTTGTCATTGTCTCCATGTCAAGTTGGATTCCTCGTGACTACTATGGTGCACCCATTGTCAGCTGGAATTATAACGACGTTCTTTTTATTCTTCAGTTTCTTAAGAGCTCTCTGTTCTTCACTGGATAGTTAAGTGCGGTTTCGCTTCCACCTGATAAGATGAACGACTAGTTGTCTTATCTCCTACTGGGTCTCCGAGTTTAGTCCTAAAGTCTATAGTGATGACTGTAGGGATGCGAAGAATTCTAGTCATGAAGAGTCTTCTGTATTTTAAATTAATCTTTTCTGAACAAGAAGTTCCCCGGTTTTGGTCAGGGATTGTTTGGAAAAATTGACTTCGCAGTCACTTGTTTCTCCTCCTTCTGATTCTCGTGGTTTCGAAATCTTGGCAAGCAACTCTCGAAAGATGTTTCTTCTCTGTTCTTTGTATCGCCTGCTTTATTTTTTAAAGACATTTGTCAATGTTGTGAAGTTTTCTGTTGTTAGTATCCTTTAGAGCCTTCTCTTTTTGCCGTCTATCACCTGTTGATATTTTCAAATCCTTTAACGCGCATCGATGGTCATCAATTGTACCATGAACCTTTCACTCCTTCTCACTGATTTCCTGTCTACTGGACAGTCAATAGGCGGCTTGTATCAGGCACTTATTAGTAAAAGATATTGGCGTAAACACTCGTGAACTTCACCAAATGGTAAGTCTCCGCAGGAGGACAACTATATTTTTACCAAGACTCACCGTTGAGGACTGCAGGACTCAACTCTGAAATTTAACAAGAAATACTCCAAGTAATCGTGCATCTGACCAGGTGAAGACAAAATAGTGCTCAACTGGCCAGTGAAGAATAAATAGAGAGCTCTTCAGTAACTGAAGAATAAAAAGGACGTCGTTATAATTCCAGCTTACAAAGAACGAATCACAGTAGTCATGTATAAAAATGACTACATCAAAACGGCAGAAGACGTAATCATGGACCAAAATTTATATCAACCAAACAACACACAACCCACTCAAAACTTTGACCCTTACATCACCAAAACTTAGAACAAACTCATCAAAGCAGGAAAAGTTACAAAATAAGAGCAATGGCTAATGAAATCCAGTAAACCTGTTATCCCACATTTCTACGACAGACCGAAAATAGACAAACCAAAAATACCACTACGACCATTTGTTTCACTTTCAGGAACCCTACAGTACAGTCTTTCAAAAAAGCTCTCCAGAAAGTTAAAACGTCTGGTAGAATCATGTAACTACTCCATCAACTCTTCGACATGATTTCTGGATTAGATCAAACATATTCATATTGACAACGACAAATTGATGGTGTCGTTAGACGTTACAGCTCTATACACCTCAACTGAGCTGAAACTCGCTAAGGACACAATGACTCTATTCCTTAACAATGATACGCAGCTCTCGGAACGCACATTACTATGATGTTCAAGTTTGATGGGAATAATCGATTTATTCTTTACAAAATGTTTCAAATCCATTGACAAACTTCACAGACAGATAAAAGGAACACCAATGTAATCACCCATATCACGATTTATTTCAGAAGCAGTAATTCAAAGATTGGAAACTGTGATATTGCCACTGATCAACCCAAAAGTTTAACCCAACAAGTAGATGACACACTTGACATCACTGAAGGAAACGAATTGAAAAACGCTTATAAATTAATCAACAGCATTTTCGATGTCATCCAATTCATAATTGAAGAGTAATCAAATGACAAACTTGCAATTTTAGATGTTCTGGTCACTAGAACGGATTCGATGAAATTGGAAACTGAAATATGCAGGAAACCAACTCATACAGATCAAATCCTCAATTATAATAGCAACAGCCCAACATCATACAGAATTAGTTGTATGAAAACATTGTTCGGAAGAGCAAAGACATACTGTAGTATATCAACCCTACGGAGAAAAAAAGACAACTATTTGATGACTATTTTCTAGAAGAACGTCTATCCACGCATCTTCATAGAAATAATTTTTTATAACTCGTCGTCAACCAAGAAATCATCCTAAGGAACCAATAATTAGATTGTCAGATTTCACATGAAGAATGCCTCCAAGTTCGCAACTAGATTACTGAATCGCTGTAGCTAAAAAACCCACAAAATCTCTTCACTACCTGTTATACAGGCAAAGAGATGTGATGGCAAAGGAAGATAAAACAAACGTTATCTGAGAAATAATTCACAGAAACGATGAAAAGCAGTACCCCAGACAATTTGGTTGCCATCCGTCTGGATGAACACCAACTAGCAGTGGAGCGTCATAACATGCCTCCACTCATATCAATGCATACGGACAACTGTGAATATGAATTTGACTAAGAAAGTAGTAGAATCGTGGATGGAGGAAATACAAAGAATGGCAAGGAATAATTAGGAGCTTGGTATTCAGGTCAGTCAGCAGTCAACAGACATATTGACATAAACCCTATCTATCAACCAACACAAAACAACAAGAGGGTCAAATTTCAGGTCATCAATCAAAGTAAACATGGAGACAATGACAAGACTTTGTCACAAACAACTAATTACACACAAGATCATCAGGACAAACTACTAAACAAATTTCGAAGAAAGCCTCATAGCTCATTTCTTTCCTAAGTTTATGCTGATGATGTTGTCTAGAATGACAAAGTAAGCTGCACGATTAAATGACCTACTTCAAGGAACACAACACCATATTAACTGTCCTTCTAAGCTACAAATATTCTCCGTCTTCTCCAATAGTAATAGCGAACTCTATTGCAGATTAAAGGGAACGAAATTATTTTAGCCATAGCCATTACAACTCACGAGAGCAAACCGAAACCCGAGATAAAGCAAGGAATCAAAACAGATAGAAAGTGAGATTAGAATTTAGTTGAAAAAAGATGAAAGCCTGTTGGACATGGAACATTCCATCAATGGTTCAAGTTAAGAATAAGATTTGGATCGTGAAATCCGACTTCAGGAAATACGGTACATTTATCGATATTTATGCATCATGTCCCAGAAATCACCCTAACATGTAACAGCTTCATAGGCGAATTAGGCATCCCTATACTGAAGAAAGCGAAAATAAATATAATTATGAAGGAAAATAAACATATTTTATTTCCCGGCTTCTCAGAAGATAAGCTTGGAGAAGAATTCACAATCATTATAAAAAATCCTAAAGAAATTGGATATTTGCAGTTCATCATGAAATAAAGGAAAACTGAAGACAGTAGAAACTTAGACTGAAATTGCTGTAAAGAAGCCGGTTTTCACTCATTTCACACCCATGGATGACAAAGTGTCAGTGAAAATGGAGAAAGTGATCAAAAGAACATTGCTATAGAACTTCCTTGCAGTCATCTTGGTTTCAGTTCACATCTTAAATTGTTTAGGGTTAACCAAAACAGGTAAGTACTCTATTTTTATCATCTTTAATTGCATTTATCAATTTCCATTCACCTACATTGGTAAGCAGATAAGAAAGACTACGAAGATGCAACTATTATGCATCATGACCTTGTTTCTAAACCTCTACTCCCCAGAATGAAAAATTTGTATGAGCGCAACAGCTAGGCATTAAATGGATACTGGATACAAAGTTACTATCAGTCACGCCTTCAGAATTATCAATATAAGGAGAAAAGCTAATTTAATTCCTTTCACAGAAGCAACTGCAACTAAACTAACATGATCTGAACCCTGTGATCAGAAAGACAGCGTGATGAACTTCGAATTACCCTTGTAACTATGCTTTAACTTTGTTGCCAAATTTCATTTCATTTTCCTTAGTATTTCGTTTAAAATCCCCAGTCAAGATTTATTATATATATATATAGGTCAGGTAGCACCAAAGCCAACTATATACACGATCCTTAAGAAAAGTGTCCATATCACTCTACCATACAGAGGGGAGTTGAATAGTATCATTTTGAGACGTAGGCTGACATCAGCCATTAAGAAAATATATAACGCGACAAATATTATTGTGAAGAAAACAAAACACATGCTTCACCAAAAACCTAAACACCGCATCAATGATTACGTCACATCCCGTTGTGTCTACCAATTTACTTGTGTGTATGGTCACACATACATAGGGAGAAGTAATCGAGTCAGGCAGTTAAGGGTGGGAGAACATGTGCCTAAATGGCTTCAGAAACAAATGGAGTGTCAAACAGTGATAAACGCTGGTGGGAGACGACCCTCTTCATCTATAGCTAAACATATCATAGAAACAGCAGCTTTCAAATTTTTATGTAGAAACAGTCAGGGACATATTCTGAGATTTGTGGAAGCCATAACCATACACAAATTGAAACCACCTTTATGTCTACAAAGCCAATTTGTTCTTACACTAAACCTACCTTGGTAAACTTTGTTTTCTTACCAAGATTAGGATCAACTGAGTCATTTTACCTGTTTGTTCTTATTTTTCCTTATTTCAATCCCTACTGTGTCAATTGTTATACTTGTCCCCCCACTCCTCGGTTTAATATATATTGACTTGACAAATAAATGAGTGATCAGATTGTTCAAAATGTATTGCGCAAATACATCACATTGTTCAGTTAATTACGTGATCGAAATAAGTGTATCAGTTAATGAGAATGTTAGCACTTAGTGAAGCAATACTAAACCGGATTCTATACTTGCTGTGACAGTCAGTAGACTAATTTATTTCCTTTTTCACCCTAAATAAAGAAACGATTAAGATCCACGAAATTTTTAGTTTTTCAGATTGAATTAGTTATCATACTGATTAGTTCAAGAAAATACTGTTAAAATATAAGTTATTGATGAATTATCTTACCTACTTGATAAACAAGTAAGTGTATTCTGTTGATGGCAACCATTTAAAACTGAACTACATTTGTCTCGTCGAGATCCTTTACGTACACAATCCATTCTTGTGTGAATCCATTCGTATCCTGCAGAACAATTGCACACATAACCAGATTCACTAGCAATCCAACCAAGAGATACATCTGATTTCGGATTATTTACCCAATCTTCTGGATCAGCTAATTTTTCGAATAGGTTATATATAGTATCAACCCAATTTCTTGTCTGCAATAATAAATGGTAATTGATACTTTGAAGTGATATTTTGTAGATTAGTATGCTAAGTTTTGACAAGTATTTATTGCTCTAACCTCTAATACAATTAACCGGCACTTTCCTGCTCAAAATACATTTTTCTCTGGGAATACTTTCGATGAAATTCAAGAAGTTGAAGCTCTTGCTACTGCTGCTACAAAAATTAAGTAGTAGCCAAAATTTTATTAAATTGATTCGAAATTACTCAGAACACGTGCACAAAGTTGCATCGGAATGCATCAAGAAACCCCGAAATCGTACAATTAGAGAAGGCCAGTAACTGTAAGTGAGTGTTGGAAAGTTTGTTAACGATAATAATCATCCTTGGATTTGAGGCGATTCAAAAATGTTACGCTGGTAACAACTGAATGGTTTATTGTCATCTGTCCTGTGAAAAGAAATATTAGTTCTCTAGTAAAACAGACTATCAAACAGTGGACAGAGAAACTCACCCATGACATCGAACGATGATCGTGCTATTTAGTGACTTGACTATCAAATCTCAAACCAGTGGATGGTAATAACTGCGCACGACACGAGATATGAAGACGTTCTTATTTATAGGAAATGGGGTGCTCAATTTTCCCTACTTTTTCAATGCCAAATAAATAATGTTGATCAAACATAGGTAAGTAAAGTAACCAAGCAAACAGTATTCTACTGCGTGTATTTAAATGTAAGTATAGAATCTGGGGGAGCATAGAATGGCAATCAGCTCTCTACCTCAACTTCATCGACTTTGAGAAGGCCTTTGACAGCGTCGACCGAGAAGTAATTTGGAAACTGCTTCAATACTACGGAGTACCGCAAACCTTTATCCGCCTCATTCAACAACTATATGAAGATGCCACATGCCAAGTAATTCACAATGGGAAGCTCAGTGATGCCTTTGAAGTGAAGACAGGAGTGAAACAAGGTTGCCTACTATCCCCCATGATATTCTTGATTGTGGTGGACTGGATCATGCAGCAAACAGTAGGCAGCGAGAAGAGGGGAATACGCTGGACGGCGGAAAAGAACCTAGAAGACTTGGATTTCGCCAGTGATGACTTGTGCCTAATGTCACATAAACTTGAAGATCTACAGGCAAAAACTAACAAGTTGATAGAAGAGGCAGGGCAGCGAAGACGGGACTTCAGGTGAATATAGAGAAGACAGAAGTGATGAAGATACCGCACCACCACCATCAACAACAACAACAACAAACTCCAATCACCGTCAACGGGAGAAACTTAAAGGAAGTAACCTCCTTCACTTATCTAGGAAGCATTGTTTCAACTACAGGCGGGACGGACGAGGACGTCAAAGTCAGAATTGGAAAAGCAAGACAGGCGTTCATTAGCCTGAAACCAGTGTGGAGATCTTCTGCACTCAACATAAAGTGTGAACAAGATCCGGATTTTCAACACCAACGTCAAGTCAGTGCTTCTGTATGGTTCAGAGACTTGGCGCGTCATGAAAGGGATTTCCAATAAACTACAGACATTCATCAACAACTGCTTACGCCGGCTCACTACTGAAGATCAGATGGATTGCCAGAAAGAATAAGCAAGAAGGAGCTCTGGCAACGAACCAACCAGGAACCTATCAGTCAACAAATATGCACTGGGAGGAAGTGGAGATGGATTGGGCATGCACTGAGAAGGCCGACTGAGGACATCACGCGTCAGGCCAGTTACTCGAGTGGAATCCCCATGGGAAGCGATGAGTTGGACGTCGGTGTCGAGGGTGACATGGAGGAGATGGTGTGAGGAGGAAATGAGAGGTTGTGGGCTGTCGTGGAACCAGGTTGAAAAGATCTCAGGGAACAGAGGTCACTGGAGACGTGCTACTGAAGCCCTATGTTACACTAAAAACCCAAGGGACTAATAATAATAATAATAATAATAATAATAATAATAATAATAATAATAATAATAATAGAATCTGGGGACTGTGAGAGAAAGTAATTTCATATTAGATTAATCTGTTTGACACGCCTCACATTGAAAAAGTATTACTTGTTAGATGATGTTTTAAGCGCAATTTATTACTCAAATTCACAACAGGTGATCCTAAAGCATGTTAGTGATGGTGATATGTCACTTTTAAAATCTTTCCTAGTAAGTTATAATATATGCCTGGTATGTGCATGCATTCCAGATAAATACGAAAGGCTATTATAAGAACTATCTCATAAAAGAATTCACAATGACTTAGAGGTATCTGCCCAACAAGTGATATCTACAGGAATGTGTGAACAAGTGCCGAAATCTACAAACAGAAAATGAAGTGAGCATTCATGTTAACCTTATATAATGTCACTAGCTCACTAGCCACTTAATCTCTCCTGAACTCTCCTTCAAAATCTTACATGGGACATCTATACAGCTTACTGTTTTATCCAGTGCAAATCCTTCTTCATAATGCTTTTGTCATATATGACATCAGACTTTCTTTTTTAGTCTTTTATAAACTGCGAAACAATGCGTTTTACAGTTTTCTTCTAAACTTTTCCACTTCTTCATGAGAGGCTAAAGAGAACCAAAGTTTAGTTGGGTTTTCAAAAAGTACTTTAGAGATCTTAGTTACTTAGCACAGCTACTTACAATTAGTGTCATATGCTGCGTACAAAAACTAATTAAATTTCTGTCGATCATCTATGCTCCGTTTTTTATTCAAACGACTTTTACTGACTACATATGTTTTACATTCTGCAGTTTATCAACGGTGTGCTTTTCATTGTATTTTTTGTAGTCATTGTACTACACTTTAATTTTCCCTTACATATGAAAACAAAAGTTACAATTTTATCCGAAACTTATTCATACATTTGTTGTAAAACCTGGAGCATAATTCTTAAGAAATCTCCTTCTAAACTGCTTACCCAGCGTATACAGATTTTGCATAAACTCTCCAGACAACTAAATGACAATTTCATTCTCGATTTGTTCATCTCATATAGCACACGATGATGCAGTACTATTTACCTGATGACGTTTTGAGCATAAATTACTACTCACAATAATATCGCTATAGTACTTCATTCGGCCTCTGATTTTTAACGTCCTATCAACTCATATTCTTGATTTTCGGTAGTGGTAAAATTCTCCACATTTCCGGCATAAGTGTTGCATCGTTCCTATTGCATTTTAGGAAGAAATGTTACTCTTCTAGAGTTTATTGAGAGATTCATAGAAATTCATTTGAAACAAAGTTGTAATAGTGACAAGAATATTAACGGTAACACGAGTAGAAAGGAGTTTAAGGCTATATTGTGTCCTCATATGAGGAAGGGATAATAGAAACTTCATACGGAATTCTCAACCAGCCTGGAATAAAGGTGGTACCTGAAATAACAAACTGAACCGGAAATAGGCTTTATCAGCTTAAGGATCCCACTGACCAAACCAGAAAAAATAATTTGGTCTACCAAATACCATGCAATGATTGCGATGTCAAGTACATAGGTCAAACTAGCTGGTCGGGGTCAACTAAATTATCACAGCGTAGAAATTTAGGAAAATGCAGGATGATGGGCCCCAATAGAATAATAAATCTAAAAGAAACTTGATTATTGCGATGTATACGTTGACACACATCCATGCTATAGGGTGGGATAAAATCAACGTACTTAAGTTCAAAATAGTTAGATGGAGAGATACTAATTACCGAATCTTTGTTCATCCAATCAATAGGAATGGTGCCACGTCTTTACTGGAGATGTGGAAAATTTTCTTACCACCGGAACTTTCAAAAAAATCATACATCTAAATTTGTGTGGTAACTTTTATATGAAGACGAGTAAATAACTTCATATTCTGAAATGCTATTCACACCATAAAAACTAGGGGGCTCCCGAATTTCTACACAGAACTGTAGGAACCATAAGTTACTAAAGCAGATCAGCAATTGCTAAAAGTCTGAAAATATGATGAAGCAATAATCCAGTATTTGTTGTTCCATCCTTAAATTGACTAGCGTGTACGACAAAATTTGTGCACAGACTGATAAGATATCCTCAAAGCATTTAATTTAATGCATTCATATTGATTTGCTAGTACTCCAATGTATTGAAATGCGATCTGTAATAGTATTTAATCAGCCCAAGATGTTATAAATGACTCGCAACAACAAATTATCAGTTGAACGCGTCACCAAAATGAATTGTAAATTAAATCTTTTTCAGAATACTGGAAAATTTTCATAATTCAAACAGCTAGTAGTAATATATTTATTACCAGCAGTGACCAAAAATATTTAGCATTAGGCATGGATAGAAAATAAAGTATATTTCAAAGCTTTTGCGCATGATGACAATAATGAACAGGAAGACATGTACTACGATCTTACCGTTGATACGATACGAGCATAATGCCATTCTTTTTACAACACTTCAACTATTGTTGAACTGTAAGACTCAAAAACTCAACCTGCGTAGCGTCCCCGAATGGGTAAGAATACGAAGTGTTTTGACAGCAGAGCACTACTGCATCAGAAAACTTGCTGTCTCTGATAGCAGTCCATAACATATGCATAATACTGATTTCTGTAGATCAACCCACTTCGATTGCCTGAAGACAAAAGGTACCGACTTTCCAAATAGGGTACTTAAGTCCACTCCGATACATTATAAATAATAAATCGCATAACCGAATGGGCAACTTACGAACTTGCAATACTTAGATCAATTTTTTGAATAAGCAGAACAAAAAAGGACAAATAATTAAGCCAAGAGTCTTTTTACAACGATTTCATTCTCAAATCTGTATAGTCACAAATTTTCACGATTTTCTTGGGTTGGTGTTTGCTAGCTAAATGTCGTTTATTAAACATGGTAGCAAAAATAGTGTCTTAGACTGACATTCAACACCAGTATGAGGATTACTGAAAACCTGGGAGCACAGGACAGTTGTTTCATCCCAGTATGTGACTCCTCAGCAGAGCGCACCTACGACCTCATCTCACCGGGGGTCGAACCTAGGACCTTCAGCTTCCGCGGCTGCCACATAACTATTGAGCCAGTGGGTCGGAATACACTGATCCACATTTCCTATTTCCGTCATATCTTGATATTCTGCGACTTCCATCCAACGACATCGTTGAGTAACTGCCCTCATATCCGACCTGGTTTGCTCAAACCGGCTACGACTTCTCAGTTTAACTTGGGGGATCTCATCTCAAAGTGTCAGACTATGAGCCGTCACTACAATCAAAAGCTGTGATGAATGATGAAGATCAGTCAAAATGTGGTTGGAGTCGCGAAGGATTACTAAGTCTGAATAAGAAGTTTTGTAAAGTTACAACATATCTGGAAACTGAAATAGGATATGAAATATCGTAGAAACAAGAGTGAGTAGTAAACGAAGTAGGAAGTAAATGTAGAAAGAAAGAGGTGATTTCAAAGAATAAAGATTAAGACCATGAAAATAGAAGGGGTTGAACAATTTTAGTCTGCATCCCGAAAGCTTAGGTTTCTCTATGTGGATGACAAGAGCTTAGGCAATCCAGTTAGTCGGAAGTCATATAAGCTCTGGAAGCCTTATTTTCACTTTGTAATTGACTTTTAATATAGAGGTTCCTGAGATGGTGTGATCCATGATCACTGACTAATCACTAATATCACTGTTTATCGACATACTGTTGCCCCCTTTGCAACCACGTAAAACAGTGCTCCTGAATCTTTCTGGATAACAATGATATCGAAAGATCTACATACCTGACTCCACTACAGTAAGTGAGTTGATAAACTCACATAGAAGTGGTCAAATGCAGAAGTTTGTCTTTCAAGTTCTTTTACTGTTTGACTGTGAAGCAGGTTTAGAGTAAATACATCAGGCTTATCAAGACTTTTTTAAAATCACTAATCTCCATTTACCTATTTATCTATTTATTTACACTAATCTTCTATTTTCACTGTTCGCTTTGAGAAGTTCCGTTTCTGTTTTTCCTTTTTTCTTTAAGTGTTGTGAATTCTAGTAACTTGAACTAGTGCACTTTATGTGACGTTATAAGTTAACTTATCTGTTTGTTCTTTTTATCTCTTAAAGATATTTTGTTACTAATTCTCGTTATTATAATGTTTTTAAATTGGACTAATTCTGAAACAAATACTACACTTTTGTGAACGATTCCCTTCTCAGTGTTATTGCTTGTATTATACCGTCGTTGACTGGACCGGATTGGTCGGTGTCTACTGACATATGGGCTCCTGTGCGGATGTCTCGATATTGCCTGCATCCTAGTAAAAGATAAATCCCGGTGGGAACAACATCACTCACTGGGAGGCAGGTACATCCAGCTAATGAGTCTTCAATGGGACGAAATGCACATCCTGGACATCATTGCTAGCTACTATCCATCTTTAAAACTCCCTCCTCAGTTAATAGGATTACGGATGACTAATTAATAATTGGTCACAAAAATCGGGAAATAGTTATCATTATTTCTAGTCAGTATGTTTACTTGATTTATTCACAATAAATATAATAATACTGCTAATGGACGGCAGATTTTGAAAACGTATGCACCTTAATCGTGAACTAGTCATCAGTTGTATAAAACAAATGTCAATCCACTATTCTTCATTTATTATTTTTGAAGGTACTTATGACATAAAAGTGGTCTGTTATGGAAACTTACTTGCCTACAAAGGTTATTACGCCTTTTTGGAACATCTTCACAAGGATTTCCCGGAACTGTTTTTATAACACCTTCAACTACGTTTCGTCCAACACATAGATATGGACAAAGAAATGGCACTTGTTCATAAAAGTTCAGGCACATTGCTAGGTTATACAAAATTATTAACATTTTATGGCCAAGAGGAAGTAACTGTAAATCTTTGTCTGGGTTCCATGGCAAAAATCCATGAACATTACTGAAATGTATAAAAAATGCTTGTAAAGTGTAAAGCGAAAGTATCATTAACTTTTATCCAAATGCATCAATATAACAAACCATGAAATTTACATATCAATATGGGAAAAATGTCCAAAATCTCCCAAGTCACTATTATAAGCCAGTCAGAATTTCATAACATTGCTATCACAAATGAAAATATTTCATTCTGTAAATAACACTAAGATTCTGGATGATTGACTGTGGTTAGTATATGACATATTTCATGCATACATTTCTATCACTGAATTCGAACAGTGAAAGATAATGTTAACAAATAAGACGGAAAGGAAAAAAGTAAGCTACTGAGGAAAACAATCACTGATCACTGTTTCTATGTAAACGTATAATTGCGCTTAAAGTGGTCACTATAGCATTTGTGACAAGATGTCGAGTGACTGCATTACTGAAAGCACCGATTCTTTTGAACTACTGGCCTTCTAGAAGGTACTCAAGTAATCTAAGGTATACCTTTTTCTCCCCATATAACAGCTAGCTTAGAAAAGTGTGAACTTTTTTAAATATATCCATGTCAGTTTCCTTAAGCTCTCCGTTGAATAAGGTTAACAAATGAAATTCATTGTAACGTCTTATCAACCGAATTCAAATACTTGTATTCCACATAATACACTCCTATTCCAGAAGCACTGGGAACAGATGCAGGGACAACAGCGGACATGCTCACACCACTATTGCAGAAGGTTTGAAGGGAATGAGGGAAGGAAAGGTACCTGGCAATTGCTAGAAGGGCGACCCAAGTCTTTGTAAGAACTGGCGCGGACTCATGCTCCACTCCTGTCCACTCCAAGCAAAATATTATGCCACACTATCGTAGCGAAACTAAAACAATGCTCCGCATTCAAAATTACGACCGGGACAGGCTGGCTGGCTTCAGCAAAAATAAATCATTTGCTGATCAAACTACAACGCTACGCTTCGCATCTTCACAGAACAGAGCACAGAATGGCAGTCAACTCTCTGCCTCACCTCAACTTCATCCACTTTGAAAAGGCCTTCGATAGCGTCGACCAACAAGTAATTTGGAAACTGCTTCAACATTAGGGAGTACTACAAACCTTTATCAACCAACCTCATTCAATAACTGTGTGACGATACCACATACCAAGTAATTCACAATGCGAAGCTCAGTAATACCTTTGAAGCGAAGACAGGAAGGAGTGAGACGAGGTTGCGCCTACTATCACCCATGATCTTTCTGATTGTGGTGAATTGGATCATGTAACAAACCGTGAGGAGTGAGATGGGAATATGCTGGCCGAACCGATGAAAATACCCTAGAGGATTTGGATTTCACTAACGATGATGATGTATGTCTATTGTCTTGTCGCACAAACTCGGAGATGTACAGGCAAAATCCAACAAGTTGACAGAAGAGACAGGGCAGTGAAGACGAGGCTTCAAGTGGACACAGAGAAGACAGAGGTGATGGACACACCAAACCAACAACATCAACAAGAACAAGCTGAAATCATCATCAACGGGAGAAACCTAAAGAAAATAGCCCCTTTCACCTATCTAGGCAGCACCGTTTCAAATACAGGCGGCACAGACACAGACGAGGGCGTCAAAGTCAGGATCGGAACGACAGCAAGACAGGCGATCATTAACCTGAAACCAGTGTGCAGATCTTCCGCGCTTAGCATAAAGCGTGAACAACATCCGGATTTTCAACACCAACGTCAAGTAAGTGCTTCTATGTGATGGTTCAGAGACTCGGCGCGTCACGAAAGGCATTCCCAACAAACTTCAGATATTCATCAACAACTGCATACGCTGGCTCCTTACTGAAGTTCAGATGGCCAGAATAATAAGAATAAGCAACAAGGAACTCACTGTGGCTGTCAACCAACCAACGAAGCAAGAACCTATCGCTGAACAAATATGCACTGGGAGGAAGTGGAGATGGATTGGGCATACACTGAGAAGGCCGACTGGGACATCACGCGTCAGGCCAGTTGCTTGAGTGGAACCGGCATTGGAAACGACGAGTTGGGCATCGTGGCTGAGAGTGACATGGAGGAGATGGTGTGAGGAAGAAATGAGAGCTTGTGGGCAGTGGTGGAATCAGGTTCAAAAGATTTCAGAGAGAGGAGAGTGGAACGGATACGTGCTAGTGAATTCCTATGTTTAATTACGAACCCAAGGGCAATAAATAAATAATAATAATAATAAATTCCTATAAAATAACTTCATTTGACTGCAAAACGTTCATCTGTATTTTGCTATGTGATACTTATATGTTTTAGGTTGTATGTCGTTTACCGTTTGACACATTTTAGTATCTACACTGAATTTAGAAGCTAGATGTCATCGGTATCACACAGATAATTGCAACCAAGCTATAAAAGAAGGATAAAATTGTTTATACCTAGTTCCACTTATAAACAAACACCTATGTTATATGCAGTTACAACCAAAACGGGGTGACAATTTTAGATGTATAAATGAGGATTAACTATAACATTCGTATGAGGTGAAACTAATGTCATAAAGTATTCCAAAAATTGCGTTGTGTAATAGATTCAAACTAAATAGTATGATCGAGCCTTCTTGGAATGAGATTTATCTTAAACATATTTTGACTCACTTTTTATATTATCCTATAACACCAGTGTTACAACACCAAATTATACCAAAAAACTCAGCTAATAAGCTGAAATCACTATCGTTCACTGATTAATTGGCTATAATAAGCTACTGAACAGAAATCAGTATTGGTACCTGCATAAGGTTGAAACGGACCTATGACTTATAGAAAACTCTTCGCTTCTACTATTAGTGAACAATAATGTAAATGTGACAAGAAATGCTAAAAATCGAATACTCTTCTCTTCTAAAAAAGGATTAAACTAAAAGTAAATAAAAGACTGCTAAATATTTCAAAAGAAAATATAATTACAATGGAAAATATAATAAACAGATCCCTAAGCAAAAACAATTCAAAAGGTTGATCAAATGAATATGATAATTACAAAAAAACCTCAACAGAACAAAAGAATAGCAGCAGCAAGTCCATAAACATGTCTTAAAATCCTCAATTAAGATTCAACCAAACCTAAAACTCCCAAAAAGGCTGTGTCCGACCTCAAACAAGTAATGTTGGCTGTACAGTCACAAACCACTATTACTGAACTGGTTTCCTTCTCAGTTACCTTAAGAAGTACTAATCTTCTACAGTGTGACCAGCCTGGAAGCACCAACTACCCTCGCAACTCTTTCGACAATCAATTTTCCTCTGTTTGTTATCAACATCTAACATCGCTTTCTAATCTCTACTCGCTTTTGTCGCCTAGTATTTTTAAGTTAACTTCAACTTATTACAGCTGTTAAACTACTGATGATAATTCGAGTTCATGAAGCAGCATCTTTTGTCCCCCAAAGTCACGTCACATACTATATATTGGAGTTCTCAATGTATTAACTCTCTATCATATCGCATGACAAGCTTCACTACCCGAAACTCCAGCATCTGTGGCCATAGATGTCTGTTGTGTTCTTGAGAAATGCATATAGAACCAATTGCGGTTATCCACCCAACCTCACCCAACTAAAATGGTGAACCTATGAAATTCATCCAGATTCGATGACTAGTTCTCGTAGTCTTGCAAGCACTGAGTAGTCAGACGGAAAGTGTACTGCTTGACTGGATACCAACTGACAGTCACCTGCGCTTTGTTCATTTGAGTGGTATGATCGAGACAGAAAATAACAGTGAAACTCACCGCTTTCTCCCTATAATCTCAGTCTGATCACCGTCTGACTGCAGCTTAGATGGAGTGATGGATGAGTTCTTCGGGAAACCGTTTAACCCCCCACTGAAAGTCAAACGTTCACATGTGGTTATCATAGCGAGTGCTTCAGTGCATATGAGGGTGAGTTTAGTAATGCAGAAAGACACCTTCGGAATCCCAGCCGAAAGAAAGGAAAAAGGCGATAAACTACCATAACTACGCTCAGACATCCATCTATTTCTGGCCAACGCGAACTTCAAACTTATAGACAGACATTGCCTAACATGGTGTTAGCCGACCTCAACACAATAGTGGACACTAATACACAATTATATTGTCGTTAGTTATCATTGAAAATAGTCAGTGAACGACTGCTGCTCCTTCTGGAAGGTATGCTTGAACACTGACCATGCGTTGGTTTGATTACAAGCAAGTCTGCACTGAAGTGGATGCAGAAAAACTACAGCAACCAGACCACGGCGAGAACACGTTTAATGAGGGATTTACTAGGCAGTTACCGGAAAAGGACACTGTCGCTCACCCGAGAGATGCCTGCACTATCTTCAGTCTCATGTGAAGATAGTGTTGAAGACCATGATTGGATCTCAAAAAGAGGTCTGAAAGGGTCAGCTGATTTCAGCGCCTTCTTCTGAATTAATGGATACCCTTGGACCCATTTCAGCAGGCTCCAAGAACAATGACGAACAGAAGTAACTTAAATGCAGATTGCCAAAAGGTTCACGTATTGACTGGTGGCGGTGATGAGTAGCGGAGGCCAAGAACATGGGAAAGGCAATGTCTATGGTAGACAGAAGACAGTTGTTTAGAATAACAAAGGAAAATGGGGCGAAAATGTCAATGGTTGGTGAAACTATAGCGGAAGACAATGAGTCGGCGATTCACTTCCAGAAGAGACTGCTGGAACAATAGGTGGAACACTTCGAGGAAGAGTTCAGCTGGTCTTCAAACAATTTTCCAGTCCCCCCTATTCAGTCAGGTCCTGAATAAGACATGGAGAAAGGGTGTCCAACTCTTGCCAAAGTTGAAAATCCACTTGGTAACTTTAAACAATGAAGGGTAGGTGAGCTAGTACTGAAGGCATGAAAGGACAATGGTCAAAGACTTTTGGTGTTAGCCTTCCGATCTCAGGTGATCGGAAGTCATTGTTCCTAACAACCCTAGTTGCGGTCACTAAATTAATGATACCAGTAAAAACAATGAAACCTCTGTACTTACTCGTGCATGGTTCAGTTCAAACTTCTGCTCACTCACTTGCTTACCTACCTAAATTCAGCCCCTTGTTACTGTGGTGGAAATGCTGACAAGTGACTGTATTAAATTATCAAATCAGTTCATACAATTAACTATGATGACAGGTGAAAAGACAGAAAGTTTGTCTCATTAATCGAAGCGTAGAACACATTTCCTCAAACCACCTTCCTTTGGATGGCGTTCATTGACAATCGGTCATCCGGCTTGCTCCACCAACTGTTCCACTCTTATTACGTCACTTTGAGTACTAGCCTACTCTATCATCACACTATTGACTGAGGAAGAGGGAGAAGAAGAACATTTCAACCTAACTGTTTCGAATACTGGCCACAAATTCCAGTTCAAAGAATGCATAGAAAGACTGATGGACATCTGAAACAACAACACCGAACCTGGTTTATCTCCGTCCAGGTCCTAGAACATGCGCTTTATATCAGTTGGCACAGTAGGATGATTAAAGGAAACAGGCGAACAAGAGATTAACGACACCTGGAGTAATGTGAAAGCGAGGAAGGCGAAGACAGCAGATGTGGGATCTCCCTGAAACATATGAATAGTATTGTCATTCACTGTTTGAATGCTCTTCATTGAATCTCTGCTCTTCCTTTATTGTCAATGTCTTTTATGCTTTTGCTCCGTACTCCTCCGGCGGAGCCTTTCTCATTCTCTCTCCTTTTTAGCTATGCGTGTTGTTTTACTCTTATTCAACTTTGTTTGAGTTATTTTGTCTCTTTTTCACTTCCCTTTCTTTCTCTTTCTCTTTATCACCCTCATGCTAACTTTTTTCCGTTTTTTCTAATTTCATCTATATCATCTGTCATGCTTGTTTCTTCAATTTTCATCTTTTATATGTACCCCTTCGTGTTTAACTGTGTATACCTGATATTTGTGGCTCGTATATTTTAATTGTCTATCTTTACTCCTGTGGGTTTAATGGTTAAATATTCGTAAACTACCTACACACCTTAACGCTGGTTGTTAAGTGACTTTAAAGGCCAACCCAACGACTGCTGAGATAAGCAATTACGTTTCTCTATTCTACAAAAAATTCTTTTCCCAGCCATATTACCATAACATGATTGGTTATTTCAGTGGTTTCTAGGATGGCATTTAAAGTCACTGTTGGCTGGATGATTGGATAAACCATTCACCCACGAAGTTCTACCGGCCGGACTTGGATTATATTTGAATACATGATATTAAGTGTATCGAGTTTCCCTAACGGTGGACCTAGCAGTGGCTAAAATAGACAATAAAGTTTATTTATGTTGCAAAGATAGATTTTCATTAAATGAAGAAGTTAAATTGCTTATTTCGATTGTTTTTAGGGTGACTTTTAGATTCAGTCTGTGTATCTGGTAGGATGCACAACTTGTTAATTCTCCAAATGTCTAGGGATTTTATGAATTCATCTAGTAATCTAGAGCACTAGAAGTTTATTAGGATATATATATATATATATATATATATATATATATATATATATATATATATATATATATATATATATATATATACGTTTGTTATCCGACTACACTCGGACCGTAAGTGAACCCCACCCCTCCGATTTCACTTACACTTCAGTAAGCGACTCACTAATGTATACATTCAGTCAAGTGTAATACGGATCTATAACTCGGGCGTACATGAGATCAGATCAAATACCAGCTGGTTTAATAGTTTCAACTACAACAGAGTATGAGAGTTTCATCAGCCAATAATGAACAATACACTCAGATATCAGGAAAATAAAGGAAACAGATGTACATAAACTTACTGTTCAGGTTCATAATATGTTCTGGAAGAAAAGGAAACTATAATAGCGTTACACTAAGTATGCTGAAATATCCAACTTATTTGGAAGCCAAATATTCAGAATTAAAACGGTCTAAATCTGTTTTTCAGTTATCTGTATTCGTTTAAATGAGTGAGATCTCATGAAAAAATTTCAAACGATTACAACACAGTGGAGTGTGCAATGCACCAAACTCATGCTTCATGCACACGTTTATCTAAAAATAGCACTCCACACCACTTAATTTCTAGTGAGTTATCCTTTGATGAAATATAACTTAAACGAAGTATACAGTAAATCAACCAGGTGGTTATTTTGAAAAATTGAGGTCCTCGGAACATCTTGAATGAAAATGTTTAGAGTTTTTCATGTGCGTTTGTTAAAACCTGGACGTTATGTGGTGCTTTAGGACTGGTTTTCAGTTTCATTCGATAACACAATTAGGACTGACTTAACAACATGTCAATGTTTTTATGTGGTACAGCAGGCAGAGACACACTATAATGGTTGGTAACATTTTAAATCGATTACCCTACTCTGATTTGTAACGTAACTTTGGATAAACAAATTATAAGTGAGCATACTTTCTATCGATCATTAACCTTAGAAAGGTCAACCGATCTCACAACATAGATGGTCTGTATGAGTTTCTTTTTTTCCATAATAACAATAGCTGTTATATTTAATTGTTGAGTTACATTGAACTCATAAAATCTTTTAGCTGACCAAGTTTACCAATAGCTGAATTTGCATTTTTAAAATCTCCCTTAACTTTATCCTTGTGAAGAATCACAAATAGACGTCTTAACATATTTTCATTTGAGATGGCAACAAATTAAAAAACAAAGAAGGTATATGCTCTTATTTTTCTATTCTGTTGTAATAGTTGTGAGAAATTCGAAAGGTCTTTAGGGGTCAAGAGTACAACATAGTAATTTACATTTTATTCCATGCTGAAGTGATAAGTGACCATTAGAGGTGTGTGACATACAAAATAAAATAACTAAAAAGATTCTTTCCTCCGAATTTTTCTTTTTCTTTTCAGATGAGGACACAATATGTACACTGCGGCTATCATTTTGCAATATTCATTGTTTGATCTCAAGAATCAATAATTGGGAATAAAATAATGGTCCGCAGTGGAATCAACAACGCACATTTTCTTCTGATTGGAACCTGCCATCTGGATGTATCTGCCTACCAATGGATGATGTGGTTCCCAAGAAAACTTAGACCTAGGACTGACCATTTCACGCAACCGTGCGTTAACCGCCAGACCTCTAAGTCATAGTGGCTACTCGTTGTGCAACATGTATAGCTTTTGGTATCATTGCTTGTAATTCCTCGTCGTTGACTGGGTAGGACTGATCGACCAGCAATGTCATCCGTGTTCCTGAAAGGATTCTCCAATATAAGTGGTGATTTCGTTTTGATATCAAAAATAAGTCTGATTGAAAATGCCACCACTCACTGAGATACAGGTTCACTCAACCAACGTAGCCTAATAAGATGAAACACACGTCCTGGATTCATCCTTAATATCAAAATGAAATCACCAACTATATCCCACAATCCATACAGAAGTGTATATGCCAACAGAAATCGATCGACAGCCCTAATATCAAGGAATCAGTAACAGTAAGACCAGCTAGAAATTTTAATTGTAGAATACTGGTCAATTGTGATGAGATCCTGTGCATACTACGATAAACAAATGTGTGTTATTTTCCTATTCAGCTACTCTATACCTCGATACATAGAGTTATTCAAAGGACCAGTTGGTTGGAAGAAACTTCATAGTAGCCAGGCTAATCAACCACGTCATTTGTTCGTGGTCCTGGCTGAGTATATGACTCCGGATGTTTATGGATCAGATTCATAACATGGTAGACTACAGTTTTTGCAGAAGATTTACGATATACTTTAACTAGCAAGCAGTGATGTCAAATCTACTCACTAAATGAATCCCTCTCTTTATTGAGCGTATTGCTGCCATAAACCTATCTATTTACAACTTCTATCTTATAGGGATTTAACTGACCAGTATTTTATACTCTGATACAAATATATTATCTTATAATTTCTAATATTGATATCGCGATGAAATATTTGGGATACACAACTCTGATTTTGTTTTGTGACTAACTGTTTTGATTCATAATTCAAGAGAGCTATAGGTAATTACTGGTTTTATCATACTGATGTGCTTGATGAATACTCATGAATGAATTTTAATGTTTTTATTGTGAATGAAAAATAAATCTACTGCTCGCTTATCCTGATATCGGAATCTAACCACTAGTCTACTAAGTTGAAATAATTTTTATACATATACCCTGAACAAGGAATTCTTCCTTGAAAGTTATGAAATAGATCTTGGTGACTAACAGTGGAATCCAGTATGAACTTTTCGCCCTATTTTGTACTCATCAGATAAATGTACCTGCACCCCAATGAGTCATGTTGTTCCCACTGAGATTTGAATCCGGTACCATCACTTCAAAGTCAAAGTGCTATCTACTAGATCATTAAGGCATGATAGCTACCACTCATGCAGTTTAACCCTAATATCTCTAGTGTCATTAAAAATTATTAATGGTAAGAAGAAATATTTTTATTCGATAATAAGAATGAATAGACAGAGAGATTGATACAAACTTACATCGATTCAGTTCGTCACATAAACCAACCTCACCTCACCTCACTACCTTTCTACTTGATGTATTGATATGATCTGTGTCAACTCAGACCGTTACGCAGTAGTGCCTGGTCCTATGTTGATATTGATTGATGCAGAAGACAGTCAGATTCAAAGCATCAACAAATGAGTAGATATGCAACAAATGAATTACACCGACTAAATATTCAGATGTATCAGAAGCTAAGTGCATGTTATTGTGCTTATATTATGGATGTCGATTCTGGAATCATTTATTCTAAGTACTTAATTTACTGCACACTAGTGGATAACACTTTCCTACATCTTGTTCTTCTAGCTTCATTCTTTCACCCACTTCATGATAATGATTCAACAAAACAAGTGAAACTATTAAAGGTGGTGGAAGTTGAAGAAATGGTAACCGATCTCAAATAACTTATAACCCCAGTATCGAGTAAACCATCTGAACCCTATTGTGCCACGTGGATATTGTGGTATGAAACAACATGTAGTGTATTTTATTCAATAGTGGGTAGACAGCCTATAGGTGTCATCTCACTTTGGCATTAGATCCGTCTACATTTGTCGGCGATACACATCAGCAGTCTTCAAAGGAAGTGTGTCTTCTACAAATAACAGAACTGCTTTATTGAGCGCAGCCATTTTAAATGACAGCTGATTTGTTTAAAATGAGTAGCTTAGCTTAACTGACAGGGTACAAATCTCGTTTGATCTGATTCTCACAACTTAAGCCCATAAAGCCTGAAATATTTCAGTAACTAGGTTGACATAGAACTCATCTAGAAGCTGCAATGTTGTTGCTTCCAACTTTCATTACACCAAAGTTACCCTCCGATTCCCTCCATCATACTCTTATAAGTATTCCCCAATTTATAGTTCTGTGATCCAGCTGTCACTTCTGGAAAACCATGATATAGTTATCATTCGGTAGATTTATCTCATTATTGTTGTAGTTCACAAAAAGAGGAATGAAACTAATACAGTATGACAATGTTATTTATTATTTTGACTATTTGTTCAATGGTCTTCTCATCCCAGTTAACTAACTGACGCATTCCTCGAAAACTGGAAACTTCAAAAAAATGGTTGGAACTTTGTTGTAAGAATAACATTAACTCAAGACTTCTCCGTTTTGTAAACCTATAGGCAACCTTAGTGTTTCTAAGAATTACTAGGAAAAAAATTATATCTAGCCCTGATACGTTTGGCTAAAAACGTTTGTGAAATTCACAGTGTTTGATGTTCAGTTATGAATATTTTCAATAATCCCTGTATCTTTTCAAGAACACAGAAACTGGATGCTTCACATTCTCGCAAACATTCTAGTCAACTTATATAAATACTAAACTAATCAGCAGTCTTCCGTAACCGCAATAAAATTGCTAACTTAATCGAAATTGTCTGTAGTTTACAGCAAATGAATGACAGTTGCATGTATGAAATACATAAATTAATCTTGGTTATAAATCCCACTGATTTTCGAAGACAAGCATCTATCCTATTCTAATACGATATCTAGGCTTCAAACCGATATCAAGGTCGAGCATTTCGTTTTTACGCTGATTCAAGTAAGTGCATAACCCTTAATTACCTAATTCTTTTGTATGAATAATACTTGGTGTTAGAAAATTTATTTGTGATATTATCACCTACTGAACACTTACTTGGTTAGTCATACATGAATTATAGTAGTGACGGATAGTGGCTAGCAGTGGAATCTAGATTGCACATTTTGTCCCATTTGGAACTCGTCAGCTGGATGTACCTGCCTCCATGTGAGTAATGTTGCTCCCACCAGGATTCGGACTGGGGAACGATCGCGTCAAAAGCCAGCATGTTATCTACTGCACCACCGAAGTAATAGAAACCGATCAATTCGGTCCAATCAAAGACTATATAATATGAGCAATTATACTAAAACTACCTCCGTTACACAAAAAGTGGCTATCGTGGCTCGCTAGTGTAGTGGATAACATGCTGACGTTTGAAGCGATCGTTCCCGAGTCCGAATCCCGATGGGAATAACAGTACTCACAGACAGGCAGGTACACACAGCTGACCAGTCCCGAATAGGACGAAATGCACATCCTGGATTCCACTGCTAGCCACTATTCATCGTTACTATATATAATTGAAGCACTGACAACATCGAGACATCCGCACAGGAGGCCATGTGCCAATAGAGACCGATCAATTCGTTCCGATCAACGACAGTATAACACAAGCAAATATACTAACACATGAATTATCTTTTAATCAGAAGCATGATCAACTCATCTCCGATCTTAATTCATTTGAACACTGTTTGTGTCATTAGCTGCTG